AAAAAGTTGTAGCTTTAACTTTTTTTTTCCGTGCCAATGAGAGAAAAGTGCCAAGGAATCTTTTCTGGAATGACCTACCAATTTAAGTATTTATATTCTTTAAAAACACTGAGGTGTCGATTACAGTAATAGTACCAGGTAAAGCAATATAACCAGCCAGAATTGCAGATTTCCCTAGGTTATTTTTGCAAAGCATAGCAGCAATGTTTATAGTCTTCAAAGTCTTAGGAAAATCTTTTTTTCCAATGATGCTTCTAGGCACGAATTTATATTCACAGGGAACAGAGCAAGCTGGTAACAGTTATGAATATTCATACAGCTCCCCTTGTCACACAGGATAGAAGACTGATATTCTTGTGAATGTTCTCAGCCTAATACCTTTTCAAATCAGACTGTTTGAATTTGTTTCATGATGCAGAAAGCTCTATCTTATAACTTCGGAAGAGAGGACCGCTCTGTGTCTTTTTTAGACTCCTTTTCCTAATTGTGAGATGTTTCATTTTCTTTAAGGCCATGCTTGGAAGCTCCTTTGCTTAGCATAAAAAGTGAAAAGCAGGCCCAATACTTCATTTTTATTTGCAGAAATGGCATAGGGCATGAACAAGACTTTACTCATTAATACTGAAAGAAGGAGCATAGAGCATTAATCACCCACATTCTGATTTTGCAAATGAGGGGTGTGTTATTGTCACACAAGGGACAAGATGGACACAAACATGTAAAAAAAAAAAAAAAGGCATCAACAAGCACAGGAAAAGTATTTCTCTTGAGGGGATTCAAAGTTTAGATGCTGGGGTATGGGAACCCATAGAGCTCCTGGCAAAGCAGCAATATTCCCTGCTTTCCTAAGGCCCTACAAGATGCTGTGGCTTTTCCCCCCGTCTCCGCAGCTGACCTATACACAGAATTGCCCTCTGCAGCCCATACAGTTATGCATCTTTGCTGGAATCTTATCTTCCAGGGTCTGCTAACATTGGGTGAATTAGGTAGAAATGATTTTGAGTTGATAGTTAAATATCCAGCAAGTGATATTGTCTTCCACAATTTGATGGTAAAATTTAGGGAGTGAATGAAGTCTAAGGAACCAAGAGATTAATCCTTGAACTTTTAGAAACAGATTAATATTTACTTAAAATTTCTGCAAATGTCTTACTGATATTTTCTTCTAAAAGATCTTTAAAAAGTATAATTTTTTATTCTTTGGATTTCTTCTGAACATGTGAATATATTGTTAATTGCTTACAAATTTGATTTTCACTGTTATGTGTAATACTGGAAGGAAGATAATTTTATACATTTGTGATAATTTTAATATTTATTTTACAGAAAGTAGTTTTTGTCTCTAAGAAAATTCTAAATGTTATGGAGCAGTTTCAGTGCATGTAAAAAAATACCAACCGATCTCACTTCTGCCAGCCTCTAGTTTTTGTGTGGCATCAGATTAGTTAGTTATTAACATTGTTCGTTTCTTCATCAACAGGATTAGGATTATAGGATCCATCTTTTAAGGTGACATGTGATTAAGTGAGATATGCAAATAAGCACTTACTGCTGTGTCTATGCTTAGCTAGCTCTTAATAAATATTCATTGTCATTAATATCTGGTTATTTTAATTAATTATGTATTCTTAAACCCCATTCTCTCCCTTCTTGTGCTTTTTCTTAGGTTCTGTTCTGTGTAATTGTGGCTTGCTTTCCAAGAATTCTATCTTATGGAATCCTCTGGTACCCTCTTGATTTTTTCCTCAATGATCACTGCCCAGTCGATTGCATATAGATGGGCTCCAAAAATCAGTTTATAACCTTGATTCAGGTACCTACCCCTGATCTAGGCATCCCTGACTTTCTAGGTAGTGGAAGCTTTGTGTAGGTGGGGTGGTGTCCTCAGAAGAGGTTAAAACAGTGACAAACAGTGTGCTTCTGTTTAATTTATATTTTCTCCCTTATTTAAATTTTTATTTCCTCTTTTTTCTATCCTAATATAAATATTCTGATCTGTTAATCAAAGAAAGGCAAAATTTACTTTATCAGCAATAAGCCACTTAATAAATGATAGGGTATATGATTCATTTTTCCCATTCTTGAGATCGAAGTTGAACTGTTAGAGACTTTAAGACCTTCTCAGGCAAGCTCAAGATTTTGAAATTCACCTGTTTTCTAGGCGTAACTTTTCTCTTTAATTTTCTGTCTACATTTTTTGTCAATTGAAATGGGAAGGTTATAGTGATGCTTTTGCTGGAGCATAAGCCCTGAGAACTGCCACAGGAAAAGTACACCTATCTCTTTAATCACTACAGCAAGGTCAGTAATTCATAGCTTATTAGCATTCCAAAGTTCTAGATTATTGATTTACAGTAAGTTGAAGTAAAATATACTGCAGAGTTACACTAAGATGCTGTAAGTGTCTTGGACATCTGATTAAGGTGAAATGATGTTTTGGACCTAACTATCCCTTTGGATATACACTCCTATCTGAAACAACTAAAACTCACATGAAATGTGTGCAACAGTGGAGCTCAAGACACTGAATATCAAGGGACAAAGGACAGTGGTCCCTAAAAGGTGAGAAATAGATAAGATGAACACTACTCCTGCCGTATTGCATGTCTGGAGAATATTTCCTGGCCTTGTACAGGTAGAGGTAGCCCAGGTATTATCTACTGGTCTCCTGACCTGAGGAAATGGAGTCACAGGTCAAGAGAGGCAAAGAAGAAAGAATAGTAAACAAGAGAATGCTTGCATGATAGAGGAAACTATGGAGGTACACAGAGGGCAGCCCTTAGGTATTCGGTTGAACGCCAGTCAGTGCATGCAACAAAACTACCCAAACTTGGGGAACGATCCTGCTGGAAAAGGCAGAGAAATAGTGCTGCAGCTCACACAATGGTGAGAGAATAGTGTCCATTTTCAACAGCCAGAATGGAAAATCTTGTAATTCACTGTTGGGGTTAAGTACTAAAAAGGGTCTTGCCTCAATAGTAGGCTAAAAAAATCAAATTCTGTTCAAATAACTGCACATTGTTAAAAGTCATAAGTTTTATAGGACTACACAAATACCAACCACCTAAAAAGCAAAATTCACAATATCTTTGCCCAGTCAAAAATTAGTAGAATTAAAGCAGCAGAAAAATAAAACCCACAATGGGGAAATCAATCAATTCAAAATCAGAATGACAGAAATGATACAATTCATTATAAAAGCATTCACACTCTTGCTATAACTATATGTTCAAGAAGTTAAAAGGAAAGATTAAGCATATTTTATACAGACAGGAAAAAGAGTGTAAAAGACTCAAATTGAATTTATAGGCAGAAAAAATAGATTTTCTGACATTTAAAATAATCTCATCTGAGGCTATGGTAGATTAGTCATTTTAGGAAAGAAAACTTGGTAAATTTGAAGACACAGCCCTGTCTAGTCAAAATGAAATACAGAAAAAAGACTGAAATAACATACATTAGAGAACTGTGGGATAATTTGTAAGTCACTGAATAAAAAAGAGATAGGGTACAGAAATCATATTGTTAACTTTTTCTAGGTTAGATGAAACTGTAAGCACAAATCAAAAACAATCATGAAATTCATAATTTAAGGCATGTGAAACACACACACACACGCACGCACGCACACACACACACACACGCACACACACACAAAGAACATTACAATAAAATTTAAACCGGTAGTAAGGAAAATTATAAAACAATCACAGAAAAATAATACATAACACACAGAGGGGCACAGATTAGTTTGACAATGTATGTTTCATCAGAAACCATAGAAGCAGAGCACTATCTGTATATTATTCAAAGGAACATTATTGCTGCAAGTGAAACGTTATTGGCTCAACCCTAAACTATTTTTACCAATGAAAATATCTTTCACAAATGAAAACAATTTTTTTCAAATGCACAGAAGCTGAGGAAATTCATCACCACTTGGCATGAGTTACAATAAATATGTTAAAGAAGTTTTTAACCACAAAGATAATGATACTAGACAGAAACTTCCATCTAAATAAAGGACTGTAGAATCAAAAAACTTCTACCTACATGGATGAATATGAGGACACATTTTAGTATTATTTTAATCTAGATATTTGATCACTTAGAGGAAACAATAAGCATACATAAAATATAAAATCCATAGCACTTGACCAGGAAAGAAGAAATACAAGCACAGTATTTAAAGGTTCTCATACCAAAGTGACATGTCATTTGAATAGACATTGTGATCACATTAAAGATGTATCTTATAAACCCTGATCAATTCTTCTTCCTCAATGGAAAAAAATAATAGACTTATTAAAAAATAACTTTTTGGAAGATAATTTTGAAGCATCTTTTTAGGCTTTAAATTGCATGCATATTTTGGTCTAATTCTTGATCTTTCAGAAGTTTATCGAATAGAGACAGCTATGAGCACCTTTTAATACAGCATGTCATTTTTTTAGTCATTCAGCCTAAAGAGAAATGAGAAAAATAGATAAGACACATGGAGAACATTCCCATTACAGTATATTTATAAGAAAGAAAAATAAAACAAGTTGTAAATAAGCTTAATATTTTTCAAAATTATTTAAATAAATTCTGATTTAGTCATTGATGGGTTGCCATCCAGATGCTAAAGTTATGACATATAAGTGTATCTTGATATAGTTTGATAAGTGGAAATAATTCCACAGCATATTATACAATGAAAAGAATTTAAATTACATGTAAAAAATAATCTTTTCTCTCTTAAAAAAGAAACAGTGTGACATAAGTCAGTCCAGTAAAATGACTACAAGTATTTATAGATAGTTGCTTGTAGTGATTATACCTGGCTGGTGGAATTTCTAAGTTCTTTTTGGTTGCAAGGAGAATGGCTTAATTTTAGAGTGATTTTTAAATTACTTAAGTAGTTTGCATTTGAATGAAATATTTAAGAAGATTATGCCTCTTCTCTTAGTAATGTATTTTAATATGTCTAGGAGATCACTTTGCAGCCCAGATGGGTCTCTAACTCACAACAGATCTCCTGCCTCAGCCTCCCAAGTGCTGGGATTTCAGGTGTGCACCACCATGTCTGGCTTCTTCTACATCTTTCAATCAGAAATTTCTTATGATAATGATGAATCTCAGATTGATAAGTGAGGAAAATTTTTTTTAAAAATCATTTGTTGTTTTTCTTTCAATGTATTATAGAATATATTTAAGCATTAAAGTATTTTTAAATTTATCTTTCTACTAGGTATTATTGTCACTTTTTACTGTGTTAAAAAGCTTAACTTGCAAATTGGATTTTATTTTGGATTTACTACTTTGGTAATTTTCAGATAAATTCATTAAACTGATTTTCATGACATTACATTTAGTGTGTATGGATACTGCCTCTGAAGAAGAGGTCAGACACCATCCCATCAACATATGGTCAGATCATCTTCCTGCCAGGTCATTCTATGTCATGTGGAGACGTTGCCTTTTTAACAATCATCTCAAATAACAGCATTACTGCAGAGCTAGATCATAGTCTTGCTAGTTCAGAGGTTCTCTCTTAGCACGAATTAACCCAAAGAGTCTGATGGGATCATCATGGATGTTTTCCTCTATTGCCTGGCTTTCTGGTGAGAAACTCTCTACCAAATTGGTTTTAGCTGTGTTTGTATCCATCACATGCAACAGTTCATCTCTATCCTTGTCTGATGAGTGAGTATTCTGCTTCCTTGGTTTTCTGCGCTTCCCCTTGAAGCTATGATCAAGTGAGGCATAGCACATCTGCGCTTCAGCTGCAACCTGAAAAGAGAAGTTTGTTTACTTTTCATTGTTACCTTGTTCTGTAACTTTTGTGATTTTGAGAAATTTCCATAACTTATGAAAAATAAATAAATTGTTTTCTGGTTTCAGCTACCTTATTTTGCCAAATTTGTCAGTAGAATGATGAAGTGAAAATCAATAATCAATTTAAGCCCCTGGCACCTTACTACCCCAGGACTCAACTCACAGTGCTCAGCATCAGAGGCTGCTGCAGCTTTCATCTAAGGACCCCCAAGGACTGCTCAGGCTGGGAGAGACATTGGCATAATTCATGCAGTGCTGGTTTCTCAGGCATGCAGAATGAAAGAGTTATGGGGTCATGGATGCTTCTCCTCAGATTTCAGAAGACAGTGTGCTCCTGAGACAGCAATCCAAGAAGCTGTAACTGGTGATGCTGAAAGTGTAGTGAAGCCTCTAGAAAGTTGGAGAAACCAGGAATGTGGAATATCTGCTGAGGAATGTCACAGGCAATGAGCACAGTGACCCCAACACTGAGGTCATGAGGTGAGCAATCAGCAACACCATAGAGGTGGGGTTGCCCATGCCCTTGGAATACATATCACAGATTGCCCTTGGTATTAGACATGGAGCTACAGGATTCAGAGTGTTCCCTGCTAGGTTTTAGTCTTGCTCTCGCTTCATTACCTTCTATCCCCCTTTGTTCTTTTTTGAATGGGGAATGTTTACCTGTGCCATTGCATGTTGTCAGCATCTAACTTTCTATTTGATTTTTATAGGAGCTCACAGCTAAGAATATGCTTGAGTCTCAGAGGAGACCTTGGACTTGGACTTTCAGCAATGCTGGAACTGTTAAGACTTTGGCAACTCTTAGACTAAAAAACATTTTTGCATGAAGAGATAAATATGAGTCCTGAGGAGATCAGGGTTGGAAGATTATAGTTTAGATGTAAAAAATGTCCACCAAAAGCCTCATTTGTTCAGAAATAGGGATTTTGGAAGGGGATTGCATAATGGGGATGTTATACTCACCAGTGGATTAAGCCACTGATAAATCCAGAGCAGAGTGAACTGTCACAAAGTGGGGCCAAGTTGGAAGAAACAGGCTATTGGGAGTGTGACCTGGAGGAATATATCTCCTGCCTGACTCCTCCCTTCCCACTCCAGCTCCTGGACACAATAAGAGAAGCAGCTTTCCACCTGCCCTTCCTCAATGCCCTTCCTGCCTGGGAGCCAGCCCGCTATGGACTAAGATCTCTAACATCTATGAGCCAAAAGAAACTTCTCCATTAAATTGTGGGTATTGCGTATTGTGTCTCAGTGATGAAAAAATGACAAGGATAATTGGACATACCTTTAATCCCAGCACTCTGTGAGGCTAAGGCAAAAAGATCATAAATCTGAGTCCAACTTGGGCAACTTACCAACCTAGTGAAACCTAGTCTCAAAATTAAAAAATAAAAAAGACCTTAGGGTGTAGCTCAGTCAGAAGGCCCTGGGTTCAGTCTCTTTTACTGCACAATAAATTGATAGATAAATGATAGATAGACAGATAAATAGATAGATAATAGGCAGACAGATAGATAGGTCAATAGATCAGTAGTAGCTAGATAGATAATATTTTAGACTGACTCCAACCTCCCCCATCTCTAACTTTATTTTAGGTGGTTTTCTGTCATACATTGCTCTAACCAAGTAAAATGCTTCAATATGTTTAAGTGGGAACAAGCACAATAGGAAGGAGTTTAACAAGTCACAAGATCTACTTTGCACATTCTTATTAGTTGATCATTTACTGGTGCTCACAAAAGTTCTCCTTTTCCTCCATACGTTTTTATGCATAAAGTATAAAGATAACTGGATTCACTTATCTGACTGGCATCTGGCAAATAATTACTTTTTATCTTTCTTTCTTGCATATCTGTGCCTATGTCTTTTTTTTTTTTTTTTTAGAGATAGGATATTGCTATTTAGTCTCTGGCTGGTTTTGAACTCTCTGTATCACCCAAGCTGCCTCAGACTCTGATACTCCTGCCTCAGACTCCTGAGTGTAGGGATTAGAGGTGTGTAATGCAAGGATCCTGTTAGAGCTCATTTTAGATTGACCTTGGAAGTATCCATCTATCTCCAAGAGGGTCTGATGGTCCCCTCTAGCCTACAGATGGGTCAGTACTAGGATAGGAGATTAATATAACTTGGGGAGAGAAATAGGCTAAAGCCAAGACCTTAAATTGGGTCTTCCAAAGCCTAGGGTTGAATTCCAGCACTATCATATACTGCTCAACGGACATTAGGCAACTTTTAAAAATAATGTTGAGCTTCAGTTTTCTTACTATCAAAATTAAAATAGTAAAATCTATTTCACAGTACTGTTGCAATTAGTAAATAGAAGTAATGTATATGGAATCTGTTAACTACCATCTAAAACTAACATGGTAATGTGGTTATTAAAATTTGCAGGCTAAAAGTTAAATACAGCCACTTAACAAACCAAATAGTTCTGTGTTCAGGATTTACCTTTTTTTATTTTAAAGAGGAAAAAAACAGTGATACAAAACTAGGCCAAAGTTATAACGACTTCTGGGGTTCAAGGCTGAGGAAATAACATTTGTATTAACAAAACCCTTAGGTACCTTCCTGCTGGCACTCATTTTCATGATAACAGTAGAATGTCATATTTTCTGTCAGACAGAAGAGATGGTTTCTTAGTCTGATTTATTCTTAAAATAACCACATGTTAAACTTGTAATCACTGCTGAAATGACATCCCTTTTCTTGTTTCTTCCCTGTCATTTATTCCACATAGTGTCCTCAAATTACCTGTGTAAGACACAACTTTACATTTCACCATCTTGTCCTTGGTTCTTCAACTAAAGTCTAAATTTCATAACTTGACTTTCAAGGTTTTCCATTTTTATTACCAGGACTTTTCCACATAAACTCTACTTTCCAGGCAAATGGGAAAATCCAATGTCCTCTGCATGTCCTGTGCTGTCTGTCATCTGTTTTGCCTCTTGCCAGGCAGATAAAAAAAAAAATGTTGACATAGTTGAAAGTCACTGAGTAACACAAAAGATCTTTTACTTTGTGTAGGATTTGTACTTTCATTCTTCCTTCGATAAATTCTCCCCTTTGGTGAAGTCTTCCCTGTCTGCTTTTGGAGAGGCCGGCAAGTACTAGTGCTCCACCTCACACTCAGCAAAAAACTAAGCACATGACATAGGCTGGTCCAGTCATCAGCTGCCCCCTAACGCTCTGGAGACAGAAAGTGGCTCAAGCTTGGGAGCGCAACGTCACCAGAGCCAGTTAGATGACTGTATTAAGATACATAATAAATATCATGCATATTTTTTTCAAGGACATAATAGGTATCTTTTTGCTAGAGTTGAGAAGAAAAATAATCAGGGGCTTCCTAAGTCAATTGCTTGTCTCACTGACAGAGCCTGGAGGCAGTCAGTACTGAGAGAATAAACCAACGCGCATCCGCAGGTCTCTCACTCAGAGGAGGCGATATTCTCTCTTTCTCCAAAGTAGCTCAAGTTTGATTTCTGTACGTATTAGAAAACATTCCAAATAATACATGTGTGGTCAATACTTGACCAGGTTTATGGAATACTGCAGAGCTGAAAGAGGAAGGCCCTGAGGAAGGACCACAGGTTAAGCCCTGAGCAGTCCCTGGAGGCTCCTGCCCTGCTGCTGGGGTGGGTGCACGGTGGGGCGTGCAGAGCCCGCAGAGCAGCTGGAAGTAGGGAGAACAAAGAGTCGGTTTAGAAATGTTGAGATTTGTGCATATAGCTAGGCAAAGAGTAATGATTCACTTAACACAAAAGAGAAAATAAAAAGAAGTAATTGAAGATTTAAGATCCGAAAAAGTAAGGAGAAATGATTAAAAGTGTAAGCAAGTGCTTGACTCTGGAAAGGAGAGAGGCTGTCTCTGGGAAAGGAGGTGAGAGAGAGATTGGTTAGAGATTTGGATATAAAGTTAGAAGCAGTGGGACACAGCAGCGCCCTTGGATTTTGTGCTATGTAAGCTCTCTTGGGGACCCATTTTACCTCTAGGTTTCCTTGTTAACTTTTCCTTATTGAGAGTAGACTGAAATACTGAAATGACAACTTCTGGTCCATACACATCATTTTCAAAGGGCAAAGAGATTACTTACAATTTTTTTTAACACTTTCACCTTTAAGCTCTGTGTATAATATTGTAGATTCTTTATGCTTTGGTGATGGACCAGGGTTACAAAGGATGATAGTAGCAAACTGAGTAGGTCATGATCATTCTAATAAAATTGAACTGAGCATATTTAAAGAGATTATTTCTAATACATAAAATTACATTTATAAGAAGAATGTAATAGAATAAGACTAATTTTCTAAGTAGTACCATATCTTTAAATGTATAATTTATAAAACAGCAGGCTTAGAGACATTATAAAGCTTTGCATAATTTCCACTTGAGTAAAAACCAAAGACAGCCCAAACAGAGTTGGCCTGTAAAATTCCTGCGTACTCAGTAGAAACTTCCATTCAGAATTTTCATTATTTTTGCAATTAAGTGCTGTGAATCTCTGTATTTTACATGGCATGGTTATATGTTGGCCATTTTTTAGTTTTCCTTTATTATCATGAGTTTAGCAGATCATGCAGTTTTCAAATTTTTCATCTAAAACATATTTTAAAATTAATTGAATATCAGATGTCATATTTGGTGAATTTATATTTTTCCCAAACTTCTTCATAGCTTGGTTTCTTAAAAATTTCAAGAGATCTGATTTCTTAGGGGATTCATATAAAGAAAAAGAAAACAAATTACCTTAATGGGAAGTTTCCAAGATGTGACCCATTTCAGGTGAGAGAATGCTATTAGACCTAAGTTTGGATTCTTTCTCCTTACTTAGTATTTGAGTGGTATAGATACGATTTTTATCCTTCATCCTATATCTAAAATGGGAATAATAGTGCTGCCTCCCTCATAGAAATCTGAGATAATTCACATAAAGCACACAATAGGAGTCCTGACACATAACGATTGCTTAATAAATGCTGTTCCTATTACTATTTCTTGGTAGCAATGAGGATGTAATTAAGAGACAAAGCTTGGGAGAGCAAAAGGCTATTCCAGCATTAATTTATGGCATTTCAGCGTCACATGGGCCAAGAACTTTGAATGGTATTTAATGAAATAGCATTGTGGCTGATTAGGTTGAACTGACTATGGCAGGAAAGCGAGAAAGCTTTCATTTTTGGGTTTCTATATTTCTGCTTACGGATTTGTCCTGCCTGTCCCCACAAAAGGTGTGTGTATATGTCACAATTTTATGTCACACAAGCACAGTCACAGAACTTATAATAAAATGTGCATACATTTGCCTTTTAGAATAGAGCTATGATGTTTTATATCCAGCTAAGTTATAACTGAAGTCTCTCTCTCTCTTTTTTGATACCTGGGGTTGTGAGCATTGTATGTGTCACATTTTAAGAAAAAGCTTAATTGATTATTTAGGAATAATTGAGCTTTTATTGTCAGATTTCTTGCCTTTTATTTATTTATTTATTTATTTATTTTTTGTTTTGTTTTGTTTTGTTTTTCTCCGGTACCGGGAACCGAACTCACGACCTTGCGCTTGCCAGGCAGGTGCTTTGCCGCTGAGCTAAATCCCCAGCCCCATTTCTTGCCTTTTAAATTATACATAACTTTGACTCTGAGCATGATCTGAGGTCTGTTTACTGCCCTCTGAATTTTCCTGAAGAGGTCATGTCCTAGAACTCCACATGGGGTCCAGGCTACACTCTTTCTAACAGTCTACTTCAAATGTGTACCCGAATGTGATCCTGCACTCTGGAAATGTGCCCACGTCCTTTGACACAGGCTGAATTTGAGCTTTGGTACAGAAATCAGAACTCACCTGTGCAGCGGGGGTGACTTCTAGCATGTCATTTACAGATCTTTCCGGCCGTGCTTTCATCTGTTCATAGCAGTCTTCATCTATTGGATCTTGAGATTTGAAGAGATTGTGATTTGCAATGGAAAAATGAAAACCATCGGCATGGATAAAAGTACAAGAGCCAAATAACCCGTAGATGTAACAAGAATCCCCTATGACCACGTGCCTAGTCTTTTTGGGAGAGATGTTGATGAGGTTACAGACGAATGAACTGTCCCCTTTGCGTCTGACACTGAAGCCTTGTTCTACAGGATGAAGAAGACAAAAAGAAGTCCTTAGGATAAAGACTCGCGCATTAAGTTTTTACGCTGTTACAGGGTAGAACAGTCTCCTTTTAAACTTCCATGTGGATCCCTGAGTTACGTGATTTCTGTGTTCTTTGCAGTTAGGTGGGATAGCCAACAGTACACGGTGGCACGAAGCACAATGCTACTGTAACAGTGGTAACTGTTTTGTCATTTCTATGACTATCGAGTTTTACTTGGAGGCATTTAAAACTAAACATTCTAAGTTTCAAAATTAAGGTTTAAATTATGACTTTTATCATCAGTCAGTGACAGAACAGACCACCTAGGCTATCTCAAGGGTCTGAGGCTATAAAATGCTGGTCCTGGCATTTGGAGCTTTTGTACATTAAGTCTGCACTCTTCTCCCATGGGGGATATGTTTATTGAATCGTACATACTCCGCCCTACCCCTCGTATGTCCCTAGATAGGCTTGGTTAGGAGGGTGAGTAACCTGGCAGAAATGTGGATTGCAACAATTTGACCTCAGAGAGAAAAAATATATTATTATAGCAAAAGATGCCTAAACTATCTTTTAATCATTTCTGAAAAACAATTTTTTCTTTCTGAAAAGAGAAATTGTCTACAGAGTGGTATTTCTCAAATCATGGTCTGAAGAAAGTCTGCATCAGAATCACCTGATGTAAGATTTATAAGTAGCTGATTCTTAAACTTAATCTAGGACTGGTCACTCAATATAATTTCATAGTTTATTAAGTAGCAAATTCTTAACCTCCATCTAGGACATACTGACACAAAATCACCTGGTTCTTTCTTTAATAGAAGATTCCTAAACCTTAGTATTTGGAGAGGTAGCGCCTAGGTGCACTTAACATGAAAGTTACAGATATGGTACACTTTAAGCTGCCAGACTACGTAATGTAAGACCCGAATGTTACAGGGGAGCACCACAATTCTGCAAAGTGAGAAAGGAGGGCAAATACTTTTAACAGTATAATCCTGAAAAATAGATGCAGAGGTTAGAGGCAAGTTTAAAATGGAAGTAAAGACAAAATTAAATAAATTATTGTAACCTATATAATTACCATATATCTAACTTTAGGAGGATTGCATACTATTTGATGCACAGATATTCAGATAAATTTAGTGCATTACAGGAAATCTCTGTGTCTGAGATGTAGCACACAGACATGGTGCCTCCTGACTCTCCATTCGTGAATTATGTGAAGGCTTGGAGGGGAAGTGTAGTAACTTCTCCCGTTAGCTCTGGGGTCAGACTAAGGTTTTCCTATTTTGAAGAATTTGGGCTGCCTTGTTATTTGCATGGTTGGGATGATTCAAGGAATGTGGGATGGCAGGAACTGAAGCGTGCTTGTTATATAAGAACAAAAAAAGTGTATAACCCACTCAGTGGTGATTTATCTCTCCCTCTCGTACTTGCCCTCGATTCAGCCCCAGGTTCTCTGCTTAAAAAGATCCAATTACAAACAAGAAACGAGAAAGTGCTCATTGTTTCTCGTTATTCACTGTGGACTTGCCTTTGTATACAGAGCACAAAGCACTGTCTCATGCCTCATTTTCTGTCCTAGAAATAGCTTTATTTCACAGGCTTCTTTGTGTGTTGGAATTCATGGTCACAGACTCTTCCTGTAGTCTCATTTCTACTAGCGGGAAATGAAGACAACAAGAAAAGCAGGCTGTTGGCTTACACCGAACATCATAATACACTTTACAATACACACCCTTGGAAGCAAGTCTTCAATAACACACTAAATATACCTGAATTTATTTTTACTACATTATTTAACTATGATTGTGTTTTAAAAATAACTACCTCAAGTGGAGTTATTTAACTTATTGATAAATTTAACTTATGGAAAAATAAAACTTACCTGGGATTATATTTTCTAAATTACCATAAATTGGAGTGTCTTCAATATCATATTCATCAACTCTATAACCAAAAAAAATCATTCACCCAATTAGAGTTCACTTTATGCATAGTTTATAAACGAATATTTAGCTAAATTCAGTATTGAATTGCACGTTCTTATTCAGTCACAACCAACCAGGGTAAATATGTCCATGTGTAAATAGGTTAGTAAATGCACACATATGTGTGTGGATGCATGTGTGTGAATTTAAATAGTTGGGTTTGGGATCTTCTTTTAGAAAAATATAACAGTAGATGATTATTCAGCGTTGATCATGATCAGATTTTACTTGTGTGTTTTGCAAGGTTTTTTTTTTCATTTAATTGTGAGAAAAATCCCAGTGGGGTGACACTATATCATCCCCATGTTATAAGTAAATAATATAAGGCTCACACAAGTGACATAATTCACAGAACTTGATACCAGTTATGATTAAAATAGATTGTCTGTGCTCTTAACACTGTACCTGTACCTCCTTTTTATTTACCCAAAATGTCATTCTAAACAGGCCCTTAAAATCATGTTTACTAAGCACGTATTGCTGACTCAGGTTGACAGATGCATTAAAATAATTGATTGCCCATTCCATTCAGATGCTGCATTAGGTGTTTTACAGATACTATACTGAAGCCCAAGAAAAATTCTACAAAAAGAGTTTTCTTATATTTATAATGTTTACATGGACGAAGCCTGAGATTCAGATAGATCACTTTACTTTCCTCAGTCTTAGGTGTAACATCAGCAATAACTACCAGTTATGAAAATTTCCTCTGCTCCACTGCTCATTTCAGCCCCCTTATGAGATGCAAATATTTATCCCTATTATATATAAGGAATTTGTAACTCATAGAGGTAAGTTAAATTATGCAAAGATACATAGCCAGGAACCAGCTTTTCTGGGATTGAAAGGCAAGTGTGACCATAAAATCCCTTGCTCTGCCTACACCATGCAGAAGTTATGCAGAAGGTGATACAATTTAAAGGGCTAGGGAACAGTTCCCTCCAACATTTATACAAAGACTTATACAAAGACCAACATTTTATGCCTCTCTCATCAATATAACTGACAAGAATAAATGACTATTTTATCTCACTGTTTGATTAAATTTCCTTCTTGCCTTGCTTGAGTAATGCTATTATTAGAGTAGATATCCAACTACTGTCATCAGAATATCTTCCTAGCAACTGACAGGGGTCCCAGTAACCAGATTTGACAACAGCAGTCTGGGAGCAGAGCATATAGGTGTTGAGAGTGGCATTTCATACAATAGTGTCAACTACTTTTACTTTGAGATTATGTCACCATGAGCTGAGGGAACTGTATTAGAAGATAAAAGAACTATTATCTCAAAGCATGATCCTGAGCTTACTTCTCATTCTTCTGAAAGAAGGTAGAACATATGTAAACAACAGGTGTATGTCCTTGAAAAACTAACAGTTCAAATGAAGCTTGCATGGAATGGTTTGGAGGGTCCAGATGCTGGCAGCTAGCATGTATTTTGCTTATCTGATAATCATGGGGCTCATCTGTAACCTTTGCTTCCATCTAGTAATTTAATACAGCTTAATATTGGGCTAAGTAGTGGTGTTTGTTCATGGCTTTTCTCTGGCTATGCAGAGAATATTAAACCAAAGGTGAAGAATTTTTAATAAGACAATCCATCCATTTTCCTAGCCCACATAGCAGATAAAACTGGCAAATGATAAATCATGTCTAAAAAATGAATATCATTTCATTCTCTGTGAATGAAAATAAGATGTGATTTATAATACAGTGCCCTGTGTCTACAGGCAGGTCTCAAATGATTAATCTCTCAAATAAACTATTATTCAGGAGCAGTTGCCTAAAGAGCAAATTAAAAAATGTATTTTTACTCAGCAATGCCAAATAGCTCTAGTTTATTACAGACTTGTAATAAACTTTAACAACAAACATTTGGCAGCATTTTATGTGAAAGATTACTGTAATTATTTTTTAAAATAAATTTATAAATAATCCCATAGCTGAGAGTCTACAACGTCTGCAGTTTTGGGCTGACCAGATTCTCCATCACAAGGAGCATAGCTAAAGAGGTTCTCTCATGAATAAGAACATTTATTCACACATCCAGCTTTAAAAATATGTTAACTGCATCGTTTTCTACAATATAAAGCATATGCTTTACTTAGACTCTCTAGTTCTTCTTTTTAAATTTTTAATTATATTTTTTGTTGTAAAATCTTTTCTTCAAAGTTTTCATGATCTGTGTGGATTTAAGTAACTTAACTCACTTCAATTTAAAAATAATTGTTTTTTTCTTGGAGGTCTTTGGACTTCAGTTTTCTAAGTTTTGATGATTTTATTCATAAACCAAGAATAAGAATATTAACCTTGATCTCTATTATTCTTTCAGTTCCAAACTTATCTGGTATAAATATTAGCTTCTAACATTCAAATAAAAATGACATTTCTAGAAAATTAAGTAAAGTTGGCTTAAGGAGGGAGAAAGGTGTCAGCTTGTGGAAGGAGCAAGCCTAGAAGTCTATCAGAGACTGGCTTTGGCAAATGTTAACTTGATTTGTTCAACAGACATCTCTTTAAATAGGGAAAAATACATTCGGGCTCCATCAATACAGAAATGTTATTTACAGCTCTGAAAGACTGTGGAATTATCAGTGGGATAAGTATAAGTGGAGAAAAATTTCACTAGAAGAGCTCTGGGCATTCCAGTGTTGAAGGTTGAGGAACCAGCAGAGGAGAAGAAAAGAGAAAGGAAAAGGGATGCTATTGGTGCTTAGAGCATAGAGGAAGCGTGTCTCAAGTACCTGACATTAGTGTGTTGAACGCTACAGACGCCCCATGGGGCGGAACTTAGATTTGACCTCGTGGCAATCACTGGTGACTTTCACAGGAGCTGAGTCCGCGCAGCAGAGAGGACTAAAGAAGACTGGATGGGTTCAAGACAGAACAGCAGAGGAAATGGAGCCTTTCCTGGTACGGTTATTTGTGTTTTAAAGCAAACAGGAAGCTGCAAAGCTCAGAGGTACTTTGGGATCCTGTGAAGCGGCATTGTAAGAAGGACCTCATCTGCACGCACAGGAGTTTTTATCAGTGGAGGATGCCCAGGACTTCTACTGACTTAAAGATTCTCACTCCTGAGAACAGTGGGTGGAAAAGACAGTTGGGGTTAGTTATATACAGGGCACTATTTATTGTTCATCAGATCTGTCTCCTCGCAGATCTAGACATGCAAGGAATCACTGTATGCAGAACCGGAGCTGAGAGGGGATAAGCTTGTGCGAGAATAGTGCCTGTAGTGCGCCCCAGGAGCGGACCATGAGCAGCTGGTGTGTGGGGGGGGGTGCCAAGATTTCTGTGAGAGACTGAAATCTGGGGAGCCAAGATCACTTCAGGTAACTGTACGTCAGAACTGCCTTCCTCAATGGGGGTGGACAAGCTGTTTGCGGGCAGGACTTTTCTTACATCTGAACTTTCATCCAGTTTAGACACTGATTTGTTCATCAACCGACATCTGTAAATAAAATATATTATCACTGGTATTTTTAGATGTTAAAATTTTGCTCATGCTCAATCTTCCCCTACACATCTATACCATCACAAGAATTTCATTAAAATTCTATAGTGTCTGGATCTCAACTCCCTGGCGTGGTCACTACATTAACTTCCTTACACAAATAACAAGACAGGAATTTTGTAGAATTGTACTTTAAGTGAAAAATAAATTAGACCAAGCATAAATACGGTAAAATTTGTTAGATTTAGATGCTATGCTAGCCCTAGATTGATTGTAGTTCTGATCGACTGGTACAGAAAGAGCAGGGATTTGGAGAAGCAAGCAGATAAAGATCACAGGAAAATTCCTCTCCCCTCTAGCACAGCTTCCCACCTAAGCAGATGGTGTGCAGAGTACAGGGGGGAACTCAGTGTGAAGGAAAGGCCTTCCTTCTCCCTCACTGAGCCACTTTAGATATGAAGAGTCTCCTGTAAATCTAGCCCCACCTGGAAAAGCTAGATTTATTTCCACTTGCTTTGTTTTACAGCTAAAAATTTAATGACTGGTAATAGTTTCATGTTTGTTCCTGGAGATTGAGTGTCCCTCTGCAAAAGCGATTTTGAACGTCAAATCACATAATCAAGAGAAACAGACAGGTTAAGAAGTATATACAAAATTTGTAATTATGACTTTTTATAGATAACATCTGTATCTTACATTCAGATGTTTCCTAAATGGCGATCTACTACAATAGACAATACATGAGATCTTCTTCACGCAGTGGGAGTCCGCTGGCAGCCTGTTCGCTTATTTTACAATTGTCTAGTACAGTGGGTTTGGTGTTATTGTTGTTGTTTAGAAGTGAATATTCATTGAATAAATGTTATAAAAGAATCAGCTTCTTTTACACACTTTCCCTACAGCTGTATTTTGCTTACATTGAGATGGATATTTTACCAGTTTTCAAGTTTTCCCATCCTAACCTCCAAGCCATCAACTTTGTCTTTAACTAAATGATCGAATCACAAGACTTTCTATCACACTGCATCCTAACTGTCTTAGAGATGACAAGTAGCAAATCAATCATCAAAGAAATTAGTGTCTACTTTGTGTTTATAAGCACTTATTTGTCTCATTTATTGTAACAAACTAATAGTAATGAGCAAATCATTCTCGAATGAATGGATGACCTGAAAATTATGTCATTCTAAGGTATCCTTTGCTAATAGTGGTCCTAAAAATAAAAATTTTGGTGTGACAACCTGCAGTCCAGATCTGCAGCCTGCCAGAGACTTTTTTTTAACATGGAGAACATTTTTTTAAAAAGACATTTTACAGTAGGGCATGGTGGCACATACCTGTAATCTCAGCACTCAGGAGGCTGAGGCAGGAGGATCACCGTGAGTTTGAGGCCAGCCTGGGCTACCTAGTGCTTTCAAGGCCAGCCTGAACTATATAGCAAGACCCTACCTCAAAACAACAAAATAAAACAAAAAAGTAAAAAGACCTTTAGAGGTCAAAAAGGCATAATCTTTTCACAGCCAGTTTAAAAAGCTCTGTATTTTGCAAAGATTATTCTGTTTACCATTTCAGAAGATCTTAAAGGATACTCTAGAAAATTCTCTTTATTTGAATTGTCTTTATGCCTGAAATAGAATCTCCAATATAACGACACATTTGGGTTAGAATATACTATCTAAAAAATGAAATTTCTTTGCTATGATTTAATCCATAAACATTCTTTTTAAATGTATCATACTTCAACTATGCAAGTACATTAATATATTAAATAGAACCAGCACTGAAGAAAACCTATAATTGAATATTATTTTAGAGTATAGACTTGTTGCATCTCCCTATTTATTGGCATTACCCATACAAACAACTCAGCACTAGCATATTTGTATGTATGTGTATTGACGCCAGTGTGTGCGTCTGTGTATACATATTTTAAATTATATAAGTATTGACAGATTTCCTCCTACTCTAGATTTTGAAATGCAGCATAATTCTAGAGAAAACTGAGCTATACTCTTAAAATTTTCCCTGAATCACAATCTAGGATATCTGTTTATGAAATCCTGTAGATGCCAAGATTAGAGTCTCATTTTGTTCTTCTCCCTTCGACTGACTGAGGAAGTGTTAATTCCCAGGGCAGATAATAACCTTATACATTCTAAACTTCAAATAAGTATAACATGAATCAAAACTACTCTGATTTGATTGTAACTCAAGTACGACACCCCTGAGCTACATTTATAGACAATACAGCATTTATTACTTTCTCTTATTAGTTAGGAGGCATGATACATGCCTCGACTTCAACATACCTGGGAATGTAGTCATCAGAGTATCTGTACAGTTTATCTGAAAGATATTCAAAACATACAAGTTTTTAAAAACCAACATGCTTTTGTTAAATTTCCTACAGTGTTCTGAGGGGTAAGTAAACATGGTTCATTACACTCCTCAGACTACCACTGATCAGACTACAGATGCTGTGGTTTGGAAAGGGTTTAAGTGTACCCCAAGAGTCCGTGAGTTAAAGGATTGATCCCCAGGATGACAGTATTGGGAGGTGCTATGGAACCGTTAAGAGGGGTGCTTAATGGGAAATTCTTGGGTCATCGAGGATGCTACCCTCGGAGAGATTAGGTCTTTTCTCATAGCACCCCTTGGAAGTTCCCTCTGTGTCTCTGCCTGGCGGCTGGCGATGTAACTGTCTACTGCAACCTGTGCTTCTGCCCTTGCCATCCACCATGAGGTGATGTAGCCATGGGGAGGCTCTCTCTACAAAAACTGCTCTGTCCTGTTTAGACTTTGAGCTTCCAGAACTGTAAGCTAAACAAACTTCTTCCCTTTAAAAAGTGAGCTGCCTTAAGTATTTTGTTGCAGTAATACAAAGCTGACCAGTACAAGGGATAAAGACTTTCTCCTGTATGGGCCAACCAGATTCTCTCTTGGTAATCTGAGATGGAAACAAACAGCTTCAAAAGTATATAGAACCCAGATGCACAGCAATTTTATGCACAAGAAACACAAGGCAGTGAAAGCTGGGATCCCTATTCCTGCCTCCTTCATGCTTCCAATCCATTGTGGAGTTTAGAGGTGATTTCTGCCTTTGAGCTCCAGGAGTCTTTCAACAATCTTCTGTTTGTTTCCCTGTTTGCCCATGATGGTTTGAATAGTATTTTCCTTACAAAAATCTCTAGAAGAGAGCCCTCTATCTATCTATCTATCTATCTATCTATCTATCTATCTATCTACCTGTCTATCATCTATCATCTTTCTCTCCTCAAAGTGTCAACATTTCCTAGCCTCTAAGCAACAGCGTGAAGTGATGTTAGGAAAGTAGCTCAGGTCATAACTCCATTTATTGACATGATGCAAACAGTGGTAAGTAGAGGTGATAATCTTAGGGGGAAGAGACACAAAAAATGGTGGGACTCAGTCTCTAAAATTAGTCAAAACGGTAGCATGGCTTTAAAGAGAAACACTTCTCTTTGGTCTGCAAAGAAAAGACTGACCAGGAATGTAATATATAATAAGAAAACTATAAAAATTATATCCAAACTTCGTTATGGGAACCCACCATTGAACCTTGTTGGTAGCTCAAAGCTAAACTACTTCTAGTTAAATATGTATAGGAAAGATTTTTTAAAAATACAGCTTTAAGAATTTTCTGTGGTAAAGGTAACAAACTCATAATGAATTATTGAGATAAATCAAGAAATATTCAAGATATTGTTTTGATAATTAAGATTAATATTATGCAGAAATCTATATTATCTATTCATAAATAAATTTTCTTTATCATTGAATGGATACATATAACATAATATTCTATTTCAATTGCTTATTATTCAATTGGCATTAAATAAAGTTAAAGCCTTGTAGAAGATATTCCTTAGAAATAAAGACCAGTATTAGCAAAACCTCTGACAGTGACCCAGAGATAATACTAACTGATCTTGGGCTGGGGATATAGCTCAGTGGCACAAACCCCTACTTAGCAAGCACAAGGTCCTGAGTTCGATTCTTGTTACCAAAAAAAATACTAACTGATTTTCAACTTTAACATTAGGTCATCAAACAACTATAAAGCTTATTTTTAGTTAAATTTATATGTGACAATGTTGAACTATTCTACAGAAAGTTTCCTAGCTGCTAAGGGTGTATTCATGGGAGCTTTATGAAAACAATCCAATTGAAGGATGAAAGGGTTGTGTCACATGTCCATGTTTGGAAGAATTCTGTGAAGGACCAAATGAGGGAAGAGTTTGCAGAACATATATACTAAGTTGTGGAACCCAAAGTGATGAATATAATCCTGTCAGAAATGCACTTGCTCCAGCCCACAGGCATACTTTATGTCATTCCTCGTAGTTTGATTTCTTTCTTTTTAGGAGAAGGGAATGTTTATAGTCAGGCCATCATTACTCAGATTTGTTTGGAATTAAAATGCATGCATAAGAGGTTAGTGAAATGGTAGCCTGTTGTAGCATGCAACAAATTCAGGTTAGGCATCAGAAAATATTGGATTTGTTTCTAGCTTTGCAAAGCATGTGCTATGTGATGACATGGAAATTATTTAAAACTGTGATTATCAGGTGTTTACAAAGTAAGAAAAATAATACCCTATCATGTAGCACATATGGAAAATAAATAATTTTGGCAAAAACAATTATAAAATGACAAAGTTATTTATTGATTGTATATATTCAGAGTCTGTATCATGTAACAAGCTATAATTTAGTTGTGCTCATTTTAGCTGGGAAGTTTCCTCAATAAATAAGTTAACTGAAAATAAGCTGATATTACTAAGAAGGCATTTAAAAGTTAAAATATTTATAAGTAAAGTTTCAGTTAGAATAGAATTACTAAAATTTTACCTTTGGTAAGAGAACTGTCATCAGATGCATGTTGGCTTGAAGTAAAAAAGAATTTGAAAACAAAAAATGTAAATGTAGCTGTTTAATAAAAAAAGATAAATGTGGACTAAAAATATGTCCCCAAACCAACTAATATTTTTGTAATATAATATGAACTTTTCAAATGGAAGTGCTTGAAGTATAAATGTTGGTACCTGGAAAGTATACTCATGTATGTATAAAAGAATAAACTATAAAGAAGAGAGATAGATATAGTATCAGCAAAAACGAAGAGAAATGAAAGGAAAATCCAAAAGCTTTGTAGGAATAGGAGTACGGAAGCAATGGTGTACAGGCTACAATATGATAATGTGTGTTGCTTAGATGGGAAAAAGGGGACAAAGAGTGTGAGACGGGAGAAATTAAGTAATAAGCAAGGGACACTAAATACCAAGACCACCTGTGTTGAGAAAACACCCTGAAAGAGAACTGATGAAGTTCAGGGCACCATATTTCTTGCTCTCTCGAGAATGTACACGTCTAATCTGGAGCTGGGCCGCCAGTGGTTGGGTGAGGTGAGGTTGAGAGTTCCTCCTCAGAAGGTTAGCGGCGTAGGATCACTATAAACGAAGAGCAGTAATTAAAAGCTCTTCAGTGAGGGTTAAGAATAAAGATCACATGCTCCTACTCCTGAAAAGAGCTCAGTCTGCCATGACTGTTCCTCATTTTATTTAAAAAGAAATGACAGGGGCTGCGGATATAGCTCAGCGGCATAGGCGCTTGTCTGGCAAGCCTGAGGTCATGAGTTCGATTCCGAGTACCAAAAAAATAAAATAAAATAAAATAAAAAGAAATGACATAATTTAAGTGGCTCCTAGTGACTTCAAGGATATTTAGCAAAATTAAAAAGTGTGTGCTTTGCTATAAAGCAGCTTAGTGTGCATGACTGCGTAAGAGGAGAGCTGGGTGAGTTTTCATAATCCCCTCCCGTGAGTTGGATGCAAAACTTGTGGTCAGGTACACAGTTCAGAGGGTGTGATATAAACGTGTTTGCTTTTATGCTTTCCCCTTTTGAGTGTTCCCTTCTCTGAGCACAATACGCTATAAGAAGAAAAAAACCCAGCACGTTGCTTAAACTCTGTAATGGAATCTTTCTGATTTATTTTCAGTGTGAAGTATGAAAAATATGCCACAATTTTCTACTGAACAGGAGATACACTGATAGGACTTTGATGTATGCACAAATCATACTTTTGTTTACCCTTCTCAAGGCGGAGAGGATGAGTTAGATAAATAACACTCTTTGGATTTAAAGAAACAGAAAAGCTAATGCATTCCTCTGAGAAAAGGAACCCTAATCCTCCTAAAGAACAGATTTGGACAAAAATCACATAAAAATGAAAGATTTATTCTGAGAAGAAGACAGAGCTTCATTTTAAATCTTCTACTTGGCCGCTACAGAAAACATCAAGAAAAAGGCTTATCTTGTCCATCTGATTGAATGTGTAGATACCGCTGCTGGGCTGCAGATTTTCTTTTGTAAGCTGTTTAATACACCAGCACATCTTGCTCAAGACTGCTGGCCAGGATGGAGTGAGCCCTTGCACCGTTCTTAGCCACAAAGAGCAAGCACAAAGACACAAACACAAAGTTACGTGAGGCCCCATGCAGGAGCACTGCGTCCACAGGCCGCGCAGAAGAGAAGCTGCCGCGTGTGACAGAATCCTCTCTAGTCTCTCTCCAGGAGGAGCAAGGCAGAGGGGAGTCTTGAGGGGAGCGGGGCTGCTTGCGAAGGAAGTCCCACATCTATCTGGAATCTCTGGATGAGAAAGAAAGCGCTATGCACCTCTCATCCTTGGGAAGAGCTGTCCGGACGAGATGGGCAGGTGGGAACTTGTTGCAGAGGGAAGGGTGGGACGAGAACACGGCACTGAGGAACGCCGCACCGAGGCTAAGCTTGGGTTGAAACACCAATAAAGCACAAGGGCCAGGGCTGTGCGTGCCAACTGAGGGTGAAATGATTTGTGGTTGGCGAATAGTAAGAACCACCTTCACAGAAGCTTACGGAAAGCTCACTGAAATGGACCTGAATATGACTAACATAAACACAACAGCTACTGCTAAAGCACGGGGTACTGTAAGATTTGTTAAATACCAGGATGAGGGCAAGAAGTGGAGTGGAAACGGAAATGGGACATAGGCGTGGTGAGAGCAGAGCAGCAGAGAGGACACAAGAACTAACTTCACTGAAAAAACCAACGTCAAAGCACGGTGGGAAGATATGCAGCATGGCAGACCCTTAAGATTTGTGGAAAGAAGGGAGCGGGCACCAGGGCCACTGGTTATGGGATGTGAGACATGAGATATATATATATCTTACCATTATGACCAGACTACTCCACAAAGGAGTTTATAGGACAACCAAATGATATGGATATAAATAAATGAATATATACATCACAATTTGCAAAACTACCCAAAATGAGAACTGTAGAATCTGTTCACATTGAGCTGTAAAAGACTAGTATAACCAAACCTTCTGGGGCAGAAGGAATAGGGCAGTACAATTCAACTGTCTGGATCTTGATCATACTAATAAAAAGTGGTTCTTAACATTCATATTCACCATTATTCAGTGCAAACATAGGGTTAAAAAATGACCAACTTGGGCCAGGCGTGGTGGCGCATGCCTGTAATTCCAGCACTTGGGAGGCTGAGGCAGGAGGATCTTTGTGAGTTTGAGACCAGCCTGGGCTACAAAGTGAGCTCAAGGCCAGCCTGAACTCCATAGTGAGACTCTGTCTCAAAAAGTAAAAAAAAAAAGAAAAAAAAAAAAAAGACCAACAAGTAAGTCAAATTTTCTAGAGGGAATTTACTTTGGACAACGGGGCTCCAATCAAACACATCAATCCACTTGTTATCTGACTCCACAGAAAAAAAGATTACTCCTGAATTCAAAGGAGAATAGCAGTACTAGCTCAAATAATTCTTCTTATCTTGCTTTTCCCTTAAATTATTTCATTCCTCCAGCTCTCAAGTCACCCCTTTTCGTTGGGTAATAATATCATCTGTATTTATAAAATCTCTCGTGAGGAAATAAAAATATAGCCAGTTTAAACTATCCCATAAGGTAAAGTGCTACTCTTAGCTCACGTTTTCTATAAAAGGAGGAAATATTGTAAAAGGCATCTGATGATGGATCATTTATAAAATTTGTTTGCAAATATGCTGTACTTGATTTTAAAATAATTACCGAAAGCAAGGCTTGCCTGGACTTTCACCTCAGCTGCATCACTGATACAACAGAAATTCTAAACGAATGTTGGTTTTCTGGTTGAGAACATTCATCAGCTTTGTAAAAGTGCGTGCACTGGTAGAAACCATTCTGGTCAGAGAACAGGAAACGTGGGCCCTTTACCCCTGACTTTGCTGCTGTCAACGGGTACGTAACCTCAGCTGTGTCACTTCATCGTGCCTCTCACTCTGCTATTTATACATTTGCATGACAAAAATTTCTTTCTCACCATATTTTACATAGGCATCGTAAACACTTATGTAGCTTCTGTTATGAGGATCAAGGGCAGTCGCTGCAATCTGACCATTTTTCTAAATTGACTTCATGCAATTTTTCTTGGACACATACATAGCTTATTTTATTTTATTTTTTTAGCTTAGTTGTATTTTATCTTTCAAAAGAAAACACCTTTAACCTTTTCTTTTCTATTACTCTATAACTGCTTACATATCCTGCTCCAAAGAGTTTTTTTGACTCTAGAATATTAAGACGCTGCCCAGAAGTAATTACAGTTAGCTGGGCACGGGTCGCACAGGTCTCTAATCCCAGCTACTTGGGAGGCTGAAGCAAGAGGATCTCAAATTTGAGAACAGCCTGGACAACTCAGCAAAAGCTTATCTCAACATATAATTTTAAAAAGGGCTATGGTAGAGTGCTTGTCTAGCATATGTGAGGTCCTGGATTCAACCGCCAGTACAGCAAAAGAGAAAGCAATACTTGATTCTGCATCTTTATGTTCACCTATCTATGTACTCAACGTGTGTGTATTGAACACCCCCGTACACAAGAGCGGTGCCAGTTGCGGAGTTTTAAGCTATTTTCAGCATGTCACATGCAGGTGAGAACCGCCTGGCTAACACTGCCGTGCAGCCTATGGCAAACGAAGAGCTGGGAGGGCGGGTCCTGGTGGCCTGGCCTCCTAGACTCTGGGGTGTGGAGAACAGACCCATGGTTCAGGCTGTTGCTTTGCAAGTCCTATTCTGAGCCCACCCCAGGCTGGGGCGCTGCGCAGGGCCTGACCGGACTTGAGAAGCCTGAGCAGGCTCGAAGACTTGCAAAACGAGTTTTCACTTTTCTCAGCATGCGTCAGAAAGGACCTTAGCAGCTGACTATCATTTGTGGACTGGCCTATCAGAGGAGGAGCGCATTTACCGGGATAATCCCCTCTAACCCGTTCTTTCACATGTCTAATGTGATCATGTGCTTAAATTAAGAGAACCCTTAGGGTGAAGACAAATCAGATAGATTTTCTGCAGATAAAATATCTTACAACATGATATTCATAACATTGTTCACTTCTGTCTGTTTTCCAGTAACTTCATTCAGTCAGGTTCCATATTTGTCAAAATGTCTTACCTTGTCGCTGCTTTTCTACGCAGTGGGAAATATTGAAGATCAGCGATATAATGAGAGCCAAACCCAGCAAGGCTAGAAGTCCCCAGAGGAAAAAGGGGCATTCGGTGCTGCCTGGAAAAAAAATGAACATACCGGTGACACAGTAGCTGACTATGCGTTTGTTTTGGTCAGGTTAGTCCCACGATTGAAACCATCGCATTTATTTATCATGAGAAACAAGTCCTCTGCCAGGACATTAATCCATATTGACAACCAAAGACACCTTACAGATTTCAGCATTGGGGCTGGTGATTAAGTCTTCAAATTCAGCATGGGCAAAATAGAGCAAGTTTTTTGCATTCTGGGTGCAGATGAATGGAAGATATTCTTAGTTCATTAAAAGGTGAGAAGTGATGACTGATCAGAAAAACTGTGGTTCAAAATCAAGAATATCCTAACTAGGAAGAAATGAAATTGGCTATACTTCTTCCTTTTATCTTCATACTAAAAATTATGTGTTTTCATTATTCACAGTAAAGCACTTGCTTCTTTCCAAAATCCCAGAGGTATAAGATGCCATGTGTCGGGATAATAAGTCTGGAATCATAGTAACCGGTTTTGTTAGCCCCAAGAGTGAACAGTAGAGTTCATTATGCGTCTTTCCCCCCAGGAAGACCTCACTTGTCATTTCATTCCTGAGCCATAAAGAGAGCTTTGTGGGATGTGGCTTATCAGCTGCTCTTGATAATTTATAGTTATCTTTCCTCATACAAAGTCCACCAAAAAATATATACACGCTTCAGGAAAAGAAGAATGGTACAATGTTTTCTCAACAGAAGGTGTTCCTCTCATATGGGGGACACTAGAGGATATCCCAGAAGTAATTAAAAATGCCCATGCAACAATCTCCAAGACCAAGGTTACCCAAGCAGTAGTTTGCTATACTCATAAACGTCTAGAAGCGACAGCCACCACTTTGAGCACCTCTTGTAATTCTAGAGGCTGAAGATGACTTGCATTAATCTCATAATGTTTCAATAAGTTCAGTACTAAAGCACTTCTACACGTTTTTCTTTTCCTGAGGTGTGTACACATTTTTTTGGGAAGACTCTGACTGACAACTAAGACAATTTGCCTGATTTGATACATCCTAGGAATCATATCCCTGTCCAATCCACATGATAAGCTGACCTCATGAAAGTAATTTGTAATTCTAATTCATATTTATTTATTCAACCAATGCACATTATTCCTGAATCAGGAAGTAGGGAGTCAAAGATAAAGACAGAACAAAATAAAACAAAGCACAGTCCTCACCTTCAAGAAACTGTATTTACATGGGGACATAAAAGATAAATATATAATTAGAAATGCAATGTGAAGATAGCCACAGCAGAGATCATCTTCCTGTATAGTCCCAACTCTCTGGGTATAAGACTGTTTAAATCAAAAACCATTGTAGGTCTTTGCAATGGCATTATAATACCAGTACATTAAACACAGTAAACAAAGCACGCAATCTCTTAACGGGATGGGAAGATTATCTTTACTGCTCTAGTCTGTTTTTAAAGTATCAGATGAAGACTCTAAACCAAAGTATCTGTCATGCTGCTCTGCGTTATCTATTTTCTGTATCTCACATTTAGCATTTGAATTGTTTTCTTCACCTTCTTGTTGACACTTCAGTGTATTATGATTCTTACATAGTTGTGTATACATCAGTGCATACAATATGCATATTGCTTATTACATACATACACTGCTTTAATTTGAACTAGTTTGAATCTCTTTTGATGCCAAAAACTGTCTACTGCTTATTATTTCCTCTTTAATTTAGAACCATGTTATTTCTACATATTCCAAATACCTTAAAGTCTACTTAGAATAGTGTTGTTTGTGCATTTGATCCTGCAATCCCATAGAATGTATGCTTAATAAGTTTTTTCAAGAATTAATTAATAAGTAGAAAATGTTAACCTATAATGGTAGTGAAATGGGAGATTTTATTTATTTTAGGGGAATTTGAGAAGGCTTAAATAGTCCTTTGCCCTCTGAAAATTAGCTTGATTAAAAGCATTATTTTTACAGGGTAAAGGGTCTGGTTTATTCCTCATGAACATAACCTCACTAAATATTATGGGAACGGGACTACATAATAACTATTAACTATATTAAATATACAAGAAATTCTGTGTATCACATGATATTGTGTGTATTCCTAGAATTATTGGTTTTTAGATATTTAACAGTTTCTTAAACACAGTTAAAGTGCTAATAAATGATAATAAATTTTTAAAATAACAAATGCCAAAATATAGAATAACATGTAACATAACGTGTTACATTTCTCTATTGAAATGTAAATGGGGCATATTATACTAATTAGCTCTTTTAAACTTACTGTGTTTGGGAAATTTTTATCATGTCACTGTGTTCCTTTTAGTAGCTGTCTAGAGTTCTACAGTGCTGTTGAGATGTAATTCGTCTAGCTGTTTTGCTAGGATGGACATGAAAATTTTTTTAAACATTTTTTCTCACTCAAGAATAATGCAGAAAATACCACTGTGCATTTTGTGTATATGTGGACTTTATCTGTACTGGAGTTTGCTGGAGGTAGAATTGCTGGGCCAAAGGGTACATTGAGAGATTTTTACTGTTTCAGAGATGGCTCCCCATTCCCCTGTCCTCCTCCTTACCCCCACCATCAATAATAATCCTTTTTATATAGCAGAAGTGACTATATCACACAAAACGAGGCCAGCAAACTGTCTCCCTCTCTAAACGAGTCTGAGTTCCTCTCTTTGCTACTGAAGTACAGGGGTACAAGGGTGATTTCTATTTGTAAAGACCTTTGCTCTTTTCTCCTTCTCATCTATGTTATTTAAATACCCATAATCCAGGAGATACAGTTCTAGATTTTTTTTTTTTTAGATTTGTGCCAATTTAAAAACTCATAGATGAACCACATAGCCCAGAACTACTGAAAAATTAAGAAAAAAGATATGACACAATAAAACATATGTAGGTAATACTCTATTTGATAAGTTACTACCATACAATACACACAAATCTACTAGAGAGAGTTGAAACTTATCAAAGCTTATGCATGCAAACACTTATAGGTCACCTAGGCAGCCATTCATGGTCAAGAAAATGTAAACATAGTCAAGATGCAATTTGAAGTCATAACTGTGTGAAATCACCCATAGTAATGCTCAGCTGCCACTGCTCGTTGCTGCTGCGGTGAGTTCAACAGTTGGAAGTGAAATCTAAAATGCGTCGTGTTGTGCACCGCCCCCTTATGAGTTCACTTCTCCAGTTTTAAAAAAAATGTGGTCTTGTGGTTCTTGCCTATTTTTCACTGTATATAATCCACAGGACATACAAAATATGTATTAACCAACTCTGTTATCATTAAAGGCTTCTGATCAACAGCAGTTAGGCAGAAACTATCTTATTTACCTTTTTCTTCATGCCTCAGTTTTCTTGTTTGTGAAAAGATAGTAAAAATAAATTCTGATTCCTATGCGGATTGAGTTAAGACATGTAATGAAATTTTTAGAAGAGTGGTGTTCACTACTAAAAGATCCAATAGATGTTAGATATGTTGCTATCTTTATTATTAATATCTCACTGCTGTGAGAGCCCTACTTATTTCTACAATGTATGCAGCACAAAGTAGCTGCTTACTAAACATGTGTCAGCACTCTAACCAAAGAGTAGAATGAAAAATGGTAATGTAATGCCTAAGGGCCACCAGGTTTTGGCGAGGGTCAGAAATTATGTGCAAATTTGTGACTTTGGTCAGTACCCCTATCTCCAAGATGCCCAAGGACCCGCTGTACTTCCAAACTTATTTTCCTCTATTTAGACATTGTTATGGACAGGGACATAGGGTTTAATTATGCCAACTAGACTGTTATTTGCTTTTCCTATGAACCAAATATGCTTCTATTTCTTTTGGTTGCCCAATATTCCATTGTTTGGACTTGTCATAACTCTTTAAAGCAATAACGTATTACTAGCTAGTAAAGGTGTTTCTAAGTTTTAGTTACTATAATCAGTATGGTGATGAATGTCTTTGTAGTTAAAACTGTATGCACAGACTTGGTTTAAGGTGAAGTGTTTGAGGATGGACTGCTGGACAAAAGGATGTATGTAATTTAATGGACTTCAATATCTTGATAATCCAAGGTTTTAAAATGAAGTAGTACATACTCACTTCTCTTCCCTCAGAGTCTGTCCCTGTTTCTATTTTTTTTTTTTTTTTTTTTTTTTGGTTTTTCTCCGGTACCGGGAACCGAACTCACGACCTTGTGCTTTTGAGGCAGGCGCTTTTGCCGCTGAGCTAAATCCCCAGCCCCTGTCCCTGTTTCTAATCATTCAGTTGGCACTGCTTTTATGTTTACTGCTGTTTCCATGAATCCACGCTACATTCATCACTACTTCTTACCCACCTGGTGCCATCCTGTGCGCTGCCCCTCCCCCGGTCTCTGGAGAAAGTTGTTCCTTTTTAATTCTGCCTTTAGCCTGTAATACAGGTTTTTTAGGACAAAGTGTCTAATCCTATATCTGCCCTGAACACAGAAGTCATCACCCTTTTCTTTCATTATCATAAGCTATAACCCCAAAATGTTATTTCAGTTTCCTGCCTTGGGAAACCTTTCATAAGTCTTGGGACTTATCTGCCATAACCTCCCAATCATGTATCATTCTCCAATCATTCCAAAGAAAATATTTAGCACATCTTGTTCCTACGTGTCCGTATAGCTGCCCCTTTGGCTGAAATGCCTTCTCCCTCAGCCATCTAAAAATATCTAGGTATCCTTCATGACCACTTTATCTTTGAAGATTTCCCTCAATACTGTCTGTGCTCTACCAGCTAACAACCTATGCTTTCCTTTACGTTTTAAAAAATATTGCAATAATCATTTATGTATAAACCTCTCCAATTAAACTCTGAACTTCCCAAAGGCAAAAACTATCTTATTTATCTTTTTCTTCATGCCTCAGTTTCCTTGTTTGTGAAAAGATAGTAATAATAAATTCCGATTCCTATGTGGATTGAGTTAAGACATATAATGAAATTTTTAGAAGAGTGTTGTTCACTACTAAAAGATCCAATAAATGTT